GCCGGGCACCGCCGGTGGCCCTGGGGGGGGGCTGCAATCTGTCTCGGGGGAGCCATGAGTTCTCGATGATCCCTCGACAACACTGAATGTGTGTCACAAGGACGAAAAGTCTGTGTCCAGCGATTTAAGAAAAGGATCCTGGAACCTCAGTGAGAAAATGCCTACGGTCAGTAGAGTTCAGGGGGCCCCAGACTTAGCGGCTTGTTTTTAAAGATATATTTTTATTGATGGCAGAGAGGAAGGGAGAGGGTGAGAAAGATAGAAACATCAATGATGAGAGAGAATCACTGATTGGCTACCTGAAGCCTACAACCCAGGCATGTGACCAGACCGGGCGAGAGCTGACCCACATTTCGGTGTTGGCCACGTTCACGAGGAAAATAGATCGTATCTGGTGCCACCCCCGGGCCTCTTAAATGAAACTTTGGAACCGTCTCGCACGGGCCAAGTTCAACATCGGGCGGGGTCAGTTCACCAGTGCCCATGGCCTGTGCCACTGTCCCCCGGCGGCCTGGCATTCGGCCGGGGGCTAAAGGGCAAAAGGGAAGAAGCAAGGGCTCAACCCAGGGGCCTCCGGTTGCTTCTTTGGTTTTATTTTATTTTGTTTTTTTTTAAAAAATAGATGTTATTGATGTCAGAGAGGAAGGGAGAGGGAGATGGAAACATCAGTGATGAGAGAGAATCACGGATCGGCTGCCTCCTGCACGCCCCACACTGGGGATCGAACCCACAACCCGGGCCTGTGCCCTGACCGGGAATCGAACCAACCGTGACCTCCTGGTTCCTAGGTCGACGCTCAACCACTGAGCCACCCAGGCCGGGCAAGGAGTAGAGTTTTTATTATTTTTATTTATTGTTGTTGTTAAAACTCACGTGAAGGTATTTTCCCATTGGTTTTTAGAGAAAGTGGAAGGGAGAGAGAAACATCGATGTGAGAGAGACACATCGATGGGTTGCCTCCCGCACACGCCGGGACCAGGGCTGGGTGGGGATCCAGCCTGCAACCCAGGTACATGCCCTAGACTGGAATCTAACCCGGGACCCTTCAGTCTGCAGGCTGACACTCTATCTACAAACCAGCTAAGGCTTAAGTAATTTTTTAAATATTCAT